AAACTACCTAAAGGAGAAACTCAAAAGTAAAGCTATGAGTATGACTATGGAGTCTCTGGGCATCCCTTTCGTCGTCCTCCTGCGGAACGGGCTCGGGAACCATGTCTTCCTGATCTGAAATGATTAAATAAGGAATGAGCTACACTAGCCCAGTAAGGACATCACGATATCTCACCATCACGGATGTAAAGGTGGGTAGAAAACACAAAAGACCAATGGAGCATGATTTACGACAAATCCTTTTATTAATAATAAAACCTTTACCATCCACTTACCTCGGTGGAATTTATAAAACAATATACGAAAGCAATGACATTATCATAATCATAGAATCATATATATATAAACTGTATAACATAATACCTATCACACTTTTCGTAATTCAATCATTATACAACATATCTTTTCCTCATTTACCAGCCTACTAGTATCTGTGGGGGTCCATAGGGGTCCCGCTACCCGTTAACCTTTAACATTCGTCATCAGATTCCAGGGCCGTCCCCATACCCCGTCCGGTATGGGCGCCAAAATCATAAACCTCAATACCCCGTCCGGTATGAGGGTGAAACGGGTCGTCCCCATACCCCGTCCGGTATGGGCGCCAAAACCATAAACCTCAATACCCCGTCCGGTATGAGGGTGAAACGGGCCGTCCCCATACCCCGTCCGGTATGGGCGCCAAAACACATAAGATCTCCATACCCCGTCCGGTATGGGAGACCACAATCCCGGTAGGGTTCCCTACGGACCCGGTCCGTCCACCATCTCCCAGGATATCTAGTCAGGCTGAACACATTATACAATTTCCATTTACATAATCTTTCATTCTCCTTTTCCCTCAGTCAGCATTATCAATCACATACAAACAAGCAAAACGATAATTTATGCCAAACAGACAACATACAACATCAATATCCTGTCATTTAATCTATAATCAATAAAACAGTAAAATATGCACACGAAACTATAAAATGAAAACATCGAACCTCATGCTGCATTTAAAACTATAAAACATGACAAATAACAGTTAACCGACAAACACACTAGACTCGGGCTACATTAGCGACCTTAAGCAATTTCACACATTCGTTGATTCATGAAATACCGTTTTATCATTTATTGGACTTTAAAACCGTGATAGGAAATAGGGTGAGGGGTCCTTACTCGTTTCGGGGTCCGAACACGGCTTCACAGTGCGCTTGCAGGCTGTCCCTAATTTTCCCTGAATTTTCCTCGGGGAACTGAAACGCACTACTGGTACCTGCACGTGTTCCAAAAAAATCCCAAATTAGGCCCAGGGCCCCTTTCGGCCCTAATCGCAACTCCGGCACGGCGGCTTCGCCGTGCTCCGGCGACGGTGCCGCCGCTGGCAGCGGCGATTCGCCTCGGGTTGGCTGTTTTCGGCCGTTTCCGGCCAAATTCGGCCACACTCGCATCGGTCCCTGCGAGAAAACAACCCTAGGGCCCTCGGGGGGCAAAAAAATCACGGAAAAACGGAGCTTACCGGCGGCGGCGCTCTCGGGTGCGGCGGCTCTCCGGCGAGGTTCGTGTTTTGGTGATTCGGCTCCGGTCAACCTGTAGAGAAAAGAGTGGTGATCACGGTGATATAAAAATTGCATCAAACGGAGGCCGGGAAGGGCCTCATCGGAGGCAAAAATCGAGAAGGGCGCGGCGGCGCCGCTGGGCTTCGGCCGTGCATTCCGGCCGTTTGGCCGGGATTTTGGCTCTGATTTGGCCACAGGAGGAATCAGCGTGGAAAAACGAGTCGGGGGTACGAAATTTACCTCGATGGGCGGTAGGAAGTTCCTCCGGTGCGGCGGCGGGTGGCGGCGGCCGGCTTCTGGTTCGTCTTCTCCGGCGAGTGGCAGGCGGCTAGGGTTTGTGGTCTGGTGTGGGGGTTCTATTTATAACCCCTTGCCTTTTGATCTCAGCAGTCCATTTTGTTTTAATTTGGGCTGTCCGTTTTTGATTAAATCTGGGTCGTCCGTGCGTTGAAATCTGGGTCGTCCGTGCGTTGAAATCTGGACCGTCCGATCGCACGCTTGATCTGGACCGTCCGATCGCACCCACGCGGATCGCCAACGTGGCCCTTTTTGGCACGACGTGGCAGGTCCCGGTTGGCCGGGCCTGCTGACGTGGCTGCCGACGTGGCTTTTTTTTTTGTTTTTTTTCCTCCTCGGTCCGGGCGCTACAATCTTAACATTTATATAATTCAAATCATTTGATGTTAATAATCACCGTAAAAAATTA